GTGCTTAATATGTCTGACTATTGTACATGTAGCGAACAGTTCCCGTTCCGTTGCACTCTTCTGTCTCATTTTTTTCTTAGACGTGGGCTGGCGTACGCGATCACCTAATCTCTTCCGTCTTTGTCACTGTGGGATAGGACTCCCCTCATCAGTACGAAAGGTGGAGCTTCAGCATTGATTTGAGTGAAGTCAAAATCAGTGCTGCGCAGAGTGCTAATCAATTAAAATACCTCCATTTTACAAGATCAAGGCGCAACTCTACACACTTCTGGTTCAATAAGAAATGAGGAACGATGTTACAAATTATGCTCGCAGGCAACTTGACTAGTTGTAACATCGTCACAAAAACCAAAGCTTATATGAGCTATTAATTGTTTGCCAAGTAATTCAACCTACCCTAAGTCTATTGATTGTTTAAAAATTTGGACATGCATTTAAATGTATAAAAGAGTGGGTTCTTCACCTTGAAAAACTTGCTGTTTTAAAAGTTGTGATTACACCCTCTACAAATCATTTGGCGCTATTTCGATTCCACTATTACAGTTCGGTTGGTAGGTAAGGCACGCATTCTTGTTTTTAAATAATGTATGCAAGCTATCATCGCTACGCTTTTGGTCTTGACAGTGTCAACCTTATAAAGGCACTAACTAAGGAAGTATAGGCGTCTATTGTTTGCTAAATTGTACAGACGATCATTTTTACATGATAATGATGGACAAAGCAGAAATATTCAACCTCTTGACCATGCAGTTAGTATCTTCGGCTTAAATTAATCTTATGCCGATTCAAGAATTCATTTCAGGATGTTGATATGCTTCGAAAAAATTGGTGAACTTAGTTGCTGGGCTTTATGATGTGTGGTGCGCGATGACTGGTCTCGAATCAGAATTTCTTATTAATGACTACGCATTTACCGTATTAATTCTCATTATTTGAAGCAAAACCTTACCATGGATGAAGAGGTTAGCGCTTTGCACATTGCAAGCTTCCTTGAGCACGATGAAGAACTCAATACCAAGGAGATTATGTACAATCTGGAGACGGTAGTTAGCCGTCCCGATCGCACCTTGCTCGACTGTTTTCTGCGAATTGTCGATGGGGAATACCTAACGGTGCGGGTGGATGGTGAGAGGGATCCGTCGGAGTGCTTTGATCTATGCTATATCGACGATGTTCACGGGTACTCTTGGGCTCGCAAGGGTGCTGAGTATCCCCACCTCTTTGTGTTCCGTTTCCTCGCGCGTACCGTCACTGATGGTGAAGCTCCAAACGAGGTGCACATTTTCAGTCTGAGCGAGAAACGTATTCTTCATTGGGTCATTGATGTTGTCAACGAGGCTGCGGACAATGCTAAGTAAATGCATTTTTATTTCACCTATTTTTAAAATACTAGGCGCTTAAACAAGCAGTCCAAACCTCGATATCAGCCAACACGTACAATGTCGCGAAAGAAGGACGCCATTAGTCAGCCTGAACGGATTAAACGCCATGCGAGAGAGGTTTGTATCGGTTTTTCGTTCCTAAAGACTATACTTTAGTCCTCTACAGTGGGAACCAAAGGAAAATTGGAGGAGTTAAACCAACTCTTTGATGAAATTGAAGGCTTTGAAAACCTCTTACACGATGCAGTCTCGTTCCAAGTCACCGGAGCTAATAAAGTTGATCGTAGGTTTTTGAATGCGTCTTTTGATTGTATTTGTGTGGACTGGCATCTAATACTCCACGGCATTCAGATTTTTTTCAGAATGGAGTTTTTCAAAACTGACATTCATTCCCATTAAAAATCTCAAATTAGGTATTTTTAGGTTACTGAGACGCTAGTTGCAAGCATATCATGTGCTTTTTGTTGTCTCTTTGAGTCTCAAGCCTTTGCAACGACTGCGTAGTCCTAGTAAATGAAGCGTAAGTGATTATTCTGAATCACACCCTTGTGGAGTGTGCTCAGACCATAATTAGATTAGATCGTGATTCAAGTAAACGATTTCAGCTTTCACGACTAAGGGAGGTGTGGGAAAGAGTGAGAAAAAGAAAGAGCTGACGACTGTGCCGTTCGTATCGGCATTCGTCCCAGCGTCGCTTTTTATTGTATTGACTCTGGGGAATGAAGTGTCAATTGGTACAAAATCAATTAGCCATAGGTTACTTAAGATGATTTGACTTTTTTGATTGCTTATTGGTGATGACATTGAGGACAAGCGGAACTATTGTGCGTAACTCAAAACTGGTAAAGCAGCTAATCTGAGACGTCTGGTCGTCGTCTACCATTAAGAGTGTAATATTTTAGCTGTTAGTTTATTGAACACTAATTAGGCGAATACTTCACAAATCCTTTTGCGATAGTTCATCAAGATTGAATTAAAAGGTGTCTCCTTGCTGCAAGAATCAAATTTTTCCATTTCTCATCAACTCAAAGCGTTTCGTTGATTTGGTAAGTTTATATTGCAACCGATGAAAACCTTCATCCTTACTCATTATTTGTTACAGCTAGGGGACCTAATTGCCCATCCAACGTCTTCTACTCATCATTGAGTTGTCTTTTAAGTGTTGTTCTCATATGATTTTTGACATAGAAGGTTTACAGGGGCTCGATGTTAAATCCTTCCCTCTCCTTAATTTTCACCTGATAGCACAAATATTCCTTACTTTGAAACAAGAAATGAGTATGTAAAAGGTAGAAGCCACATTTTTTACACTCGTAATCTCATTATATCGTATTGTATACTCCCTATGTAGACTAAACCAATCCGCATTTAGCTACTCTATAGTGTTCGTGTATTTTTCATATTTAACCTTCGCATTTTCACTTTCATTTTTTGAAATTATGAACCGCCTTTTTGCGTGTTCGGGAAGGGACACTGTGGCGCGACAGTCTGACCCCACCCTCGTACGAGGCTGCATTGGCCCATGTGGAACGTATTCGGAATTGCATCAATGTAACGGCCGATCTGCGAGACCACATCAAAGATCCAGGCCCGGGAGAGTTGCTCAATCGGCTCTTTGAGTCGTTGTGGTGGGTACAGAAGATCTGTGACGGTAACCGTGTTCTCCACTACGATCCCAACCTCGTACGGTCAGTATGGCGACCTGCCTTCACCGAAAGAGCCATTCGTGCCCTTTCCGATTACCTTCAGGCTGGTAACAAGTCCTTCTGGCAGTCTCTTGGCGATGCCTGGACTGTCGCCGGGTGAGTACCTCCAGTCATCCAACAGTTCTACCATGATTTCTAGGTTCTCTTCTGTGGTGAGGCTAAGCAGTTGATCAACTTAATGCCATTTTTGGTTCTGCAGTCATGCGGTGCTTTTCTTATTCATTAACAAATCATTTTGGCTCTGAACGACTCATGGAATTCCAACTGCTTCCACCGACATCCGACAGAGAAGGAGGAGAGACGTAATTTTATCAAGTCGTTTTCATCCTCTGGGATAAAAAGAGGCTCGAAAGGCTCAATTGTAGATTTTACATTTACAGTTACCTTTTGTGAGGGCATTTTAATTTGATGTTGCAACTCATGAGGTCGGTTTAGCCATATTAAAGTTAAGATTGAAAATATTTATGA